GAGGCTGCGCCCCCCTCCCGATTGTAAACAACCGCGCCCTCCGCGCTGCGCCGCCAGCCCCGCTCCGCGCGCACTCGCACCTCAGAATTTCACTTCAGCACTGCGGCTCCTCTGAGTCTGGATATGATATTCTCTTTACTCCTAGTTGTAGAATTTTCACTCAGCCAGCCCTCCTGTGGTTCTGGATGATGTCCGTTCCGTCTTTTAGGTGTAATTTGAATTGGTTGTTTGAGGCAGCAATCTCCGGCATTAACCTATGCCGCCATCTTGGTTTCTCATCTTCTCCCCTGCTTCTTGAATCCAACTCAGGATCACAGAGGTAATGATGCCATACTATGCAGCCGACTCCCATTATTGCAAAGAAGGGCTTTTGGTTTTATTCCCTAGTGAGTGCCCTTTTTCTATGGAGAATTGTACTTGTCTAGACTTTCCTATGGTCATGGATTTTATTCTTTCTGCCACTCTCCTATTTTATGTCCATAATTCTTGAAGTCCTCTGAACTAATTTGTGCATTAAAAGTTTTGGATATTTACCAATTTCTTTGAAGATAGAATCTATATTTTTATTCTTGTTTTGTTTGTCTTGGGAAGAGATGAGATTTGAGGAGAGAAAGTTTCAGATTTACTCTGCTATGTTTAAATAAAATATATACTTTCTGCTTATTTATTTTTCCCAAGGGTTTTGTCCTTTAAATCTCTACAAATAGATTCTTTCACTTAAGACAGGGAGGGAGCTCTAGAGCAATGATGTCACCTGTCCATATACCTGAGAATGAAGAAAAGCTATTGAGGTGAATGTTGAGAGAGTTAATAGTCGTGGTGTGTCCTTGGGAATAAGAAAGTCATTCCTTGGAGAGGCGGGACTAAATAAAGGGCTCAACACATAGAAAGGAGTCTATTTTCTTCTTTTTGAATAAATATATCGAGAAAAATGATTCTTTATCTCCTTGGATGTTTCCTTGCAGGAACTAATGCAGCCAAAATCTGGGGCCAATGGAACAGCCGTTACTGAATTCATCCTGCTGGGCTTGGTGGACACACCGGAGTTGCTACCACTTGTCTTTGTGCTCTTCCTCTTTGCCTACCTGCTCACAGTGGGGGGCAACCTCAGCATCCTGGCTGCCATCTTGGTGGAGCCCAAACTCCACACCCCCATGTACTTCTTCCTGGGGAACCTATCAGTGCTGGACATTGGGTGCATCACTGTCACCGTTCCCTCAATGTTGAGTCGCCTCTTTTCCCACAAGCGTGCAGTTCCCTATGGAGCGTGCCTCACACAGCTTTTCTTCTTCCATCAGTTGGCTGGTGTGGACTGCTTCCTGTTGACAGCCATGGCCTATGACCGGTTCCTGGCCATCTGCCGGCCCCTCACCTACAGCGCCCGCATGAGCCATTCAGTCCAGTGGATACTGGTGGCTGTGTCCTGGGCCTGTGCCCTCACCAATGCACTGATCCACACTATTGCCCTAACTACACTCAACTTCTGTGGTCCCAATGAGGTCAATCACTTCTACTGTGACCTGCCACAGCTCTTCCAGCTCTCTTGCTCCAGCACCCAACTCAATGAGCGGCTGCTCTTTGCTGCTGGTTTCATAATGGCAGGGACA